GACACAATCGGAGAGGCAGCAGCTGGCCTCACAGGTGTTAACCGTGGAGCTGGTTTCATAGTGTGAGGCTTTGTAATGGGGATGGTAGGAACCCGCACCTTTGGCCGAGTGGGGAATTTAAGCTGGAAAGAGAAAGCAGGGAGGTCAAATATATTAGGTTGCTTTAAGACTGGAGAGGGTAGAAGATTACATGGTAGCATACCTAGCCTGGGGCTTGGCCCACTATGGCCTATGGGCAGAGCCACCCACTGTCTGTTTTTAGAATACATTTTATTGGCACACAACTCATCTTGTATATGTATCATCAATGGCTGCTTTCATGCTACCACGGTAAAACTGAGAAGCTGTGACTGTGTGGTATACAAAACCTAAAATATTTACTATCTTGATCTTTACAGAAAAATTTGCTAGCCTTTGTCCTAGCCCTTTGGCCTACTAATTCAGCTCTTTCTCTTTCATGTTGCAGAGCTGTTAAGATTGACCACTCCCTAACAAAGAAAAAAGACAAAAACAAAAAAACAAAATAAAAAAATTTTTTTTAATTAAAAAGTAATAGTAATAATAAGATCGACCACTCCCTGAGCTTTCTGTGTTAAGTGCCATGTACCATAGTCACTCCAGGAACCCTCCAACATTTCTTCATCTTGACTGCTCAGATTTTACTCCTAAAGAAGACAGTAAACTACTTGAGGGTTAAAACTAGTCTTGTTCATTTCTTTAGTACTCCAAATCCAAGCATAAGACCTGGTAGACACACAACAGACACTAATAATATTTAAGTGTGGAACGCATTTCTTAAAATCATATTTACCCTGCTGGTGACCGTTTCAAGGACAAGAACCATGTTTTCTACTACTTTAATTTCTTACCATATCTTAGACACTTTTCAACAACCAGAAATGACTGAATTGTTTTAAGGCAGGCTCCTATGGCCAAACAGAGGCCGAGTGGGATTCCTCTCTCAAGGGACGAGGAGGTGGTTCTTTAAATATATTATTCAACTCCATACCTTTATATTCTGCCTAAACACCCTTGGAATGTGATGGCTTTGCAAGTCTCAGCTAGGGAACAACAGAAGCCTAATTTATTTGCCAAATTCATGGCCAGGATCAGAATGCTATCATTTATTAATATATAACCTTGATAGAGGACAGTATGGGAAAAAATTATACAAGATCTAAACTGAAGGGGCATGAAAATTCATAATTGACAATTTATTAGCTGACACCAATTCCTTTCTTTTTTTTTTTGAGACAGAGTTTTGCTTGTCACCCAGGCTGGAGTGCAATGGCATACTCTTGGCTCACTGCAACCTCCACTTCCTGGGTTCGAGGGATTATCCTGCCTCAGCCTCCCGAGTTGCTGGGATTACAGGCGCCCGCCACCACGCCCAGCTAATTTTTGTATTTTTGGTACAGACGGGTTTCACCATGTTTGGCCAGGCTGGTCTTGAACTCCTGACCTCAGGTGATCCACCTGCCTGGGCCTCCCAAGGTACTGGGATTACAGGCGTGAGCCACCACACCCGGCCCCTTTCTTCTTTTTTCAATTTTATACTAAAAAGTCCAAGTTAAGTGGAATTTTGAGAGCATGATCTTCCTATGTCAAAGAAAAACTCTGCTCCTTTTAGATATGTATGTAATTATTTTAACTGGCTTTCTATCATATCTGTGGAGATAACAGAGTAACTGGTCAGAAGAAGAGGAGTTGATGCATTTGGTGAACAAATGCACAATTTGGCATCTGAATCCGGAAGGAGGCCTCCCAGTTTGATAGTTCTGTTAAGAGAGTCACCTCCAAAGACAGCCAATTACCCTGACCTACAAGTCAAAACAGAACCAAGTAATGATTTTCTGTCAGTTTGTATTAATGCACCAAAAGCCATCTGCCTCTAGTTCTTTTTTCCCCCAGAATAGTAATGATCAACTAGCAAAAGGCTTAAGTAGCCTGAAGATCAAGCAAAATAGTTTCTTACCTTATCCCTTTTTGGCCACTGTACTATAGGAACTCCAGTGAGGGCTAACTTGGGATCGCTGTTGGCAAGCTCCTCCAGCAAAATCTAAGTGTAGGAGGGGAAAGAAGAAAAAAGCGGGGCAGGGTGAACAAAGAGCCAACCACTCTGAACAGCATCTAGACTCTGCCTCAGTACCCTTGAGTGGCAAGTGAGGCAAGGTGGCAACTGTCTATACTTGCCCTTCATATAGAGACTCACAGGAACACAAATAAATCAAAGATGAAAGAGAAAACTCAAACTTGGGCTACCGCAGTATTATCAAAACTTTGAGGTCAGGCACAGTGGCTCATGCCTGTAAGAGACGGGAAGATCACTTGAACCCAGGAGTTTGAGACCAGCCTGGGAAACACAGCAAGACCCATCTCTACTGGGGGCGGGTGGTGGTGGTGGTAGTGGGGGAGCAGAAAGGACTTCAAACTCACCTTTGCACCCAATCCCTTACTTGTGTACTCATTATACTAACACACCGAAGCAACTAGCTTACAGTGGCGACAAGTGTTACTTCTCATACAGTTCTACATGACAGTAAAACTTTATTATTATTGCCTCTTCACTTTTCTACACCAGTTAGTGAATATTATTAGGTAATTAAGTAGTGCCTTCATTTCTCAGACTGAGCAAACTGGCATAAAAATGATTGGCTCATACAGAATTAATGAGATGAACAGTACAGACTAATATGCTGATTCAACCCAGGGCTCTTTTCTTCTAAGGCTGAAACAGAAATCTCAATCTCAAATCTCTCTCTCTCTCTTCCCTTTCTCTCTCACACATACACACACACACCCCCACCCACCCACATACAGAATCTGCTGTTTGCCTTTATTCCTCTAAATGGGGAAAGGAACCATCTTAGGGGCAACAGTTCTCAGGTCTTTACCAATCAAATTTAAATGACTTAGGAACAATGCTATAGTGAGAAAATGCCACTTAAGTAAATCACACTGGTTGACCATTATTTTGAAACAAATCTTTTCTTTTTTTTAAGACATAGTCTTGCTCTGTTGCCCAGGCTGGAGTGCAGTGTTGCCATCTCGCTCACTGCAACCTCCAACTCCCAGGTTCAAGCCATTCTCCTGCCTCTGCCTCCCAGCCTGCCATCGCACCCGGCTAATTTTTGTATTTTTAGTAGAGACGGGGTTTCGCCATGTTGGCCAGGCTGGTCTCGAACTCCCGACCTCAGGTGATCTGCTCATCATGGCCCCTCAAAGTGTTGGGATTACAGCATGAGCCACCACACTTGGCGAAATCTTTTTGTTTTAGACAGACAAACTCCTGAAGCCCAGTCTTCTAGTATAATGACATCCTTTTTCCTCTGACCTAATGAGCCCTAAGGCAACACCAACAGCAAAATAACTCAAATATGAGAGACAAGTTACACGATTCCTTTTCTGGCTGCCTTAGGTATGTACAGGATAGTAACTGTTTCAGCAAATACTAAACTCTGATCCTGGACAGGTTAGCAAGTCTGGGCGGTTGCTAATAATTATTCTCATACCCTGTGTGCTCTGCCCCTGGAGATGAGGACTTTTGTGTATTTTCATCCTTAACCTAAGGATTCTGCTCCAAATTCCAAAGTTGAGACCCTTTAACTCATAGCCAAGAAACTCCTCTACTAAGATCCCCTTTTGCCAAGTCTCCAGATGCCTCTCACCTTCCCCCAAACTGATTTCATTTGCGGACGTTTTATTTACTTCAAGTTGCTATGGCATCCTTTTCTGTTAGCACCATACAGCGTGGGGGTGAAGAGGCGGGGTGTGGTGCCCCACGTGGGACAAGGCTCTGGTATGGGCTCCTAATCTCCCTCGGGTGAAAAATTCAGGTCCATTCAAAATGTGTGCTAGGGAGTGCATGACTCCCCTCCCCCACTTCGCACTGCCAGAGTAGGACTCTGCCCATTTCCTCTGCCGAAGAGAACTGAGCTGTCCACAAACAGGGACTTTCCACTTTCACCAAAACAGACTGCACAGTAAGATATGCGATTAAGAGAGTAGAAAAGGAACTTAACTCTTCACCAAAAGCAGTCTAATTCTACCTGCAAGATTTTTGTGGGGAATAGGGAAGGATAGGCGGAAAACTGTGTTGGTGTGTGTGTGTGGGGGGGGGGGGGGGCGGCAGCTGTTCATACATACACGACTCAGTTACTGGGGTATGTGTGGGTGTGGAGGGAAATGCAGATTTCCTTCCAAGCCTTATTTTGCTGGGGCCATTCAACCAAGCACGCCCTGCTTTCATCAAAAAAGGCAGACTCAAGCTGAGGCCCTACAAGAAACCATATAAAGAAGCCACCACCCTTCACTAGAGGGGGTTTGGGGTAGGAGAGCGGGGGTGGAGTGCGGGAAAGCTGACGCCTATCTCGGCTCCAGGCATTCGGGAGAACATTTAAACACAGGCCCACACCCTACAGATCACAGAAAGGGAAAGAGAACAGAAGGTGCCTGGGCAGAGAGAGGGAAAGGATTCTCAAAAGCCAAGCAACCCAATTCAAAAGCACATCCCACCAGGTGAGGGAACAAGTGCAATGACGGCTCAAGCAACACGAAGTAACACAGCATTGTCCTGGACTCGCCCGGCAGGCAGTTTCTTCTGCCTCTTCACTGAGACAGAAGTCCCTATAGTTACACGCACCCACAAACCAGAAAGGGTTTGCCGATCGACCGCCTGACCTTTCGTTTCCTGTCGCTCTGGAGCTGCCGAGGCTCTTGAAGTTTCCCCAGCGTCTTTGTTTTGTTGTCTGTATTGGAAGTTCTCCTGAAGGAGTTAGATATTCTGCCTCTAAGAAAATCCGGATTTACTTGAATATTCTGGAATCTCCCAGAGCACATAGGGCAGGGCAGTCCAGCTCTGACCCTTCAGACTACCCAGAGGGAGCAGCGTGCAGCGCTCTGGGCTCCTTCTCGAGCCCTTCAGCTCAGCCGCGGCTTCCTGTGCCTGCGAACAATGCTGCTGCGTCACCCACATGCAGCTCCCAGAAATGCTTTGCAACGGAAGATGGCAGGAGGGGGAGCCGAACGAAGAGTGAGCAAGCCAGGCAGAAGGCCCAGCCGTTCTGCTGCAGAGCCGGGAGGGGGTGTGTTCAGCAACTGCTTTCTTCCTCGCGATTGGAAGAGGCCATGCCAGGGAGGGGAGTTCAGCCACAGCCCCCGCCCTGTCTCCCTCCCACCACCACTGCAATAGGAGAACCTAGGGCCAGCCCCCTGAGGGCTCCCGGTGGCAGACTTCTGAAGGCGCCAGCCAAACGGAAGGCTTTAACTCATTCTGCAGACTACACTAGGCACCTTGGCCCACATTTGTCCTTGTCTCAGTCCACACCCTTCCCCTCAGGGTCACCTCTCACTGTTAAAGCCAGAACGCTCTGGCTAACGGCACACACACTTATCTGTCCCCTCTCAGCAAGCAGAGGGGATTGCCCAAAGTCCCGCCTCTCTGGACGAACTAGGCAAGGAAGCTGAGTTCCTCTTGAGTTATCGTCTCTCTCTGGCACACTTCCTGCTTCATCTGCCCTTGCTGACTTGCTCCCAGCCCACAATCCAGAATCTGCATATGTGTTCCAAAAAACCTTCAGAAATGGCCCATGTCAGCCAATATTGAGATATTTAATAAATTACAGCTAACATCAACTATATCCAAAACAGATGCCTGCTTCTGATTCTGACAAGGACTCCACCCCCACAGTACAGTACTAGAAATATCTGCACAGCAATCCTGCAGCCGCTCCACCACGAACAAGTCAAACAACTGAGGCACAACCTAAGGGCAACACACTCTATCCCAACTCCGGCAGTACCCTCTGCCTGTAAGATTATCTCACCCTCAGAATACCATTTGCATTTGGATTTCCATTTCTATTCAAGTCTGTTTGCCTGTCTCATTCTTGATATTCCCTAGATGAAGCAGCCAGTCCTGCATCCTGTCAAGACACCTCACTGCCACTTTCTGACAGCCCCTTGAACAAGTATTGCTCACACCTCTGCACACCGATTCCCCAATCCCCAGACCACCGGCTCGGATGAAGCTCAAACTGCATACACACTCCTTTCAGTCTATAGGAGGAAGGGAAGGAGCACATTCTGGGTGAGTTTCTATCGATCCAGTGTACCAAACATCATCATGGGAAAACTTCAGTAGGAATCAAATACTTGGCAGAAAGTTTGGGTTTCAATTTATGTGATTTTTAGACCCTTATAAATGTAAATTGCCTTTCTGCAGGTGCTTTGATTTAAACATCCAGCTCTTAAGCATTCTTATTTATTTCCAGGACAGTTGTTTCTGGTACAGATTTAGTGGCTAAACAGGCTTTCTAAAGTCTGGGGCTTTGCTGCCAGGGGTTACATATGTTATTTTTATGGTAGTTTGAGGGGAAGGAGAGACTTTTGTGCTCTTGGCTGAGCTCTTCCTGGAAATGCTATATGGTCATCCTAATCCTAAACCTCTCCCTGGCACTGTATCTTAAGGCTCAAGAACCAGTGCAATCAGCTTATTTTGTTTGAAAAGCTTTCCTTAACAGTGATCTAGCTACTGAGAGGTCTTCTTGGAAAATGCTTATTTTGATCTTCGGTGCTATCTATACTACAGATAATGAAGTAGAAAATATATAAGAGAAAACATGTTACTTTAAAACAAACATAAGTTCAAGTTGCAGCAAGTGCAAATTCTAGATACCACCAGGAAAGGACAAAAATCAGATAGGGCACTAGGAAACTCACTCCCAGTAAGTTTCCAAATCACAAATTAAACAAGGCCTGGCAGGGGGCAGTGGCTCACGCCTGTAATCCCAGCTACTCTAGAGGCTGAGGCAGGAGAATCGCTTGAAACCTGGAGGCAGAGGCTGCAGTGAGCTGAGATTGTGCCACTGCACTCTAGCCTGGATAGCAGAGCAAGACTCTGTCTCAAAAAACAAACCAATCAGCAAACAAAAAACTCCCAAAAAACAAGGCCTAACGTTTCCCCCTCCTGCTAATTCAGAACAAAAGGCAAAAAAGAGGCTGGGCGAGGTGGCTCATGCCTGTAACCCCAGCACTTTGGGAGGCCAAGACAGGCGGATCATGAGGTCAAGAGATGAAGACCATCCTTGGCCAACATGGTGAAACCCCATCTCTACTAAAAATACAGAAATTAGCTGGGCGTGGTGGCATGCATCTGTAGTCCCAGCTACTTGGGAGGCTGAGGCAGGAGAATCGCTTGAGCCCAGGAGGCGGAGGTTACAGTGAGCTGAGATTGTGCCACTGTACTCCAGCCTGGGGACAGAGACAGACTTTGTCTAAAAAAAAAAAAAAAAAACAACCAAAAGACAAAAAAGATAAGAACTGCTAAGAACATGACATTACATAATGCAATATAATGAAAATATTTAAAATAATTATGTGTACTTTAATGTAACCATATATGTTTCATAACCAAGTTATATTAAACTTTCTATTCAGTAAGAATGTATGAATTATTACAAATATCTTGTTAGTAAAAATTGCAAATGAAGTTTTATTTGTATAGGTTGGCCTTTGTTTTTTTGGAGACAGAGTTTTGCTTTGTTGCCCAGGCCAAAGTGCAGTGGTATGATGATGGCTTACTACAGTCTAGCCCTCAGCCTCCTGAGTAGCTGGGACTACAGGTGTACACTACCATGCCCAGCTAATTTCTTAATCTTTTTTTGAAGGTGGAGCCTGGAAACAGAGCAAGAGTCCATCTTAAAACAACACCACCAACAACAAAATATCTGTGGCCGAGTGTCGTGGCTCACACCCATAATCCCAGCACTTTGGGAGGCCAAGGTGGGCAGATTATGAGGTCAGGAGATGGAGACCAGTCTGGCCAATATGGTGAAACCCCATCTCTACTAAAAATACAAAAATTAGCCGGGTGTGGTGGTACGCGCCTGTAGTCCCAGCTACTCAGGAGGCAGAAGCAGAAGAGTCGATTGAACTTGTGAGGTGGAGGTTGCAGTGAGTCGAGATGGTACCACTAAACTCCAGCCTGGACACAGAGTAAGACCGCTTTTCAAAACAAACAAACAAAACAAATCTGTAAGCCTGGACACCTGGGACTTAAGAAAACAAAAAGTCTGGCTTGGCTGGGTAAGGTGGCTCAGGCCTGTAATCCCAGCACTTTGGGAGGTCGAGGCAGGAAGACTGCTCAAGGCAAGGAGTTCAAGATTCAAGACCAGCCTGGTGAAAACAGCAAGACCTCATTGCTAAAAACAATAATAAAGAAAAATTTTAAAACATTTTAAAATCTGGCTTAATGGAGTAAGAGCTAACTATATTGGGTCTTCTACTAGTTGTTTTATTAGTGTCAGAATCACCCCCATTGTCAGCTGAAGATAATTCCTAATTAGTATTTCTGGAGTTATTTGCAACCATAACTCTTTCTGGTTCAATCTCATCATATTCCTAGGATGTAGCCTAATGTAAATTTTCAGATCATAGTTCCAAAATAAAATGTTAGATTCTTAGATAAGAGTATCAGTAGCCTATTACATCAAAAATAACAATTTTCCAATTTATAAATTGAGAGCTTTTACCATTTAAATAATGTTGTAGTGATAAATTTATATCCTGTAACAGGAAAGCTTATTAGCTGGTGATGAAGAAGGCTAGAACATCTCTTTCCCTCAGGATAGACTCTGTCACCCTTACTCATTTGCTCTGTGCCTTGTGTCATGCTAGGCATCTGCAAATCTGGACTGCACTTATTTCCCGTTTCTTAGCCCACTTCAGTGTCTGCTTTGCCACTGAACTCTAAGGTCCTTGAGGGCTAGGACCACGGCATGTCTGCATAGTTTCCTTAACACTCAATCTGATTCCTGGCACAGAGTAGGCAGGCATTATTCAGAGCAGTGGAATAAGTGAATTTCATAGATTTGTGACATCTAATTTTTTACTGGCTGTAATAATGCACTGCTTATTAAGTATTTTACTAATCTTGTTAATTTAACAACAATATCACAAGATATTTTATAGAGGAGAATATAGGTTTTTGTAAGTCACAAAGTATGACTGGCAGGCTTATCAAAATGTTTTAGAGAAAACAGAAAAGTAGAAAAGTATTCTACAACACTGAATTCACTTTATTAAGTGAGCTTGGCAGCCAGATATAATGTTGTATTAAAAGCTTCTTTTATATGTGCATATATGATAAGAACTCCTTTATCACCAAAATAAATACCAACAAAAACAAGTTTGATTAAAAACTCAAATTCTGGCCGGGTGGCATGGTGGCTTCATGCCTGAAATACCAGCACATTGGGAGACCTAGACGGTCAGATCACTTGAGGTCAGGAGTTTGAGACCAGCCTAGCCAACATGGTAAAACCCCATCTCTACTAAAAATGCAAAAACTAGCCAGGCTGGTGGCACACGCCTATAATTCCCTGAACCTGGGAGCCGGAGGCTGCAGTGAGCCTAGATCATGCCACTGCACTTCAGCATGGGTGACAGAGCAAGACTCCATCTCAAAAAAAAAAAACACCTCAAATTCTTCCAGTTGACTACCACCATGCTGCTGTGCCCTGCTATCAACAGGATGGGGTGTACCCTTCTAGGTTCCTCTGCAATGCACAAACACACATACAATTTTTCTTGCATTAATGGGATCATACTATACACACTGTTCCATGTTCTGTCTTTCTTTTTTTTTTTTGAGACGGAGTCTCCCTCTGTCACCAGGACTGAGGGCAGTGGCGTGCGACTGCGGCTCACTGCAACCTCTGCCTCCCAGGTTCAAGCGATTCTCCTGCCTCAGCCTCCCAATTAGCTGAGACTACAGGTGTGCACCACCACACCTGGCTAATTTTTGTATTTTTAGTAGAGACGGGGTTTCGCCATGTTGGCCAGGATGGTCTCAATCACTTCACCTCATGATCCGCCCGCCTTGGCCTCCTAGTGTTGGGATTACAGGCGTGAGCCACTGCACCCAGCGTTGTTTTTTTTTTTGAGACAGAGTCTGGCTCTGTCCCCAGGCTGGAGTGCAATGGCACAATCTCAGCTCACTGCAACCTCCGCCTCCTGGGTTCAAGCAATTCTCCTGCTTCAGCCTCCTGAGTAGCTGGAATTACAGGCACCCGCCACCATCCCTGGCTAATTTTTGTTATTTTTAGTAGAGATGGGGTTTTGCCATGTTGGCCAGGCTGGTCTGGAACTCCTGACCTCAGGTGATCTGCCCTTCTCAGCAATTACAGGCATGAGCCACCACACCCAGCCCCATGTCCTGCCTTTTTATTCAACATATATCAAGAATACAACTTTTCAATTTTAGAAATGTTAAGAATATCTCATAGTAAGAGAACCCCATTCTACCTATGTACACTTTCAGGTGTCAACATTACCCATAACCCCGCCCAAACAGAACCTTACACACATGTTGATAGCTTCACCAGTAAGTCAGTATTTTACTTTCTTTCTTTTTGAGGCTAGGTTTCACTCTTTTGCCCAGGCTGGAGTACAGTGGTGAGATCATAGCTCACTGAAGCCTCAACCTGCCCACCTCAGCCTTTCAAGTAGTTGGGATCACAAACACACCACCACACCTGGCTAATTTGGTATTTTTTGTAGAGATGGAATTTTGCCATGTTGCCCAGGCTGGTCTGGTCTCAAGTGATCTGCCTGCCTTTGCCACCTAAATTACTGGGATAAGTGGTGCAAGTCACTGGGCCTGGCCTAAGTTGGTACTTTTTAATGCCCTATTTTTTCACTTAATCCCCTTCCAACTCTATACTCTATGACTTGTTCTTCAACACTGTAAAACCTAACCTTTAAGAATCTTCAAAGCCCTTTTATCACAGCACTGAAATGCACTCTTTTTCCTTGGAATATTATGAATATCTCATCTACCACATTTTCCCTCATCTCTTCTACTAATTATTTCTGAAAGCCAGATAGGTTAAAACAAGAAACAATTCCTCTGTCTGCAGGAAGGGTAAAACTGTACTTGCTTTATCCCCCACTAAAGTGCTATAAGCACAAAGTTCTCCATCACTGCACAGTCCCTTGCTGTGCAGTAATTCACCACCTACCCAATCTAATGCTTTTTTCTTTTGAGTGATGCTCAGATTCTCAAGGTATTCAAGCTCTAAGCTCAATATAGCTGAACCTGAGATTTAGCATAACTGATCAAATATAGGAATAATTAATCTATTTGATCTCAACACCTGTAGAACTGGAATCTAAATCCGTTCTCTTCTGACGTCAACTACATTTTGACTGTGGTTTTGGGTAAACGAGAAGGTGTGGACAAGTCCCTGGAGGGAGAATTCAAACACTGTCAGCCTGTGTAGTCATCTCACTGGCTACTTGTTCCTCATGCTCTGGCCCTTGCCACTGCACCTTAGCCAGTGATAGCAGCCATGTTTTTCAGTGGTCCCTGACAAACACAAGGAAGCTCTCTTTGGACACTTTTCATAATGCTAAGCGTCCTCATCTCTCTTTGTGCTGACTCTGCTTAATATCTGACCCAAATTTTTCTACATTTTCCCTTGGTATACCACTGTATCATTCTGTTGCCTCAAATCTCCTTATTTAGCTACTTTAACTAGTTAAACTACTCCAGTGGTTTTTGTTATTGTTGTTGTTGAGACAGGGTTTCACTTCTGTCACCTAGGCTGGAGTGCAATGGTGCAATCTCAGCTCGCTGCAACCTTTCCCTCCTAGGTTCAAGCAATTCTCCTGCCTTAGCCTCCTGAGTAGCTAGAACTACAGGCAAGTGCTACTATGCCCAGCCAATTTACATATATATGCATCATGTATATATACACAATGTATATATATGTGTATATATACATGATGTATATATTTGGTAGATATGGGGGTTTCAACATGTTGACCAGGCTGGTCTCAAACTCCTGGGCTCAAGCGATCTGCCCACCTCAGCCTCCCAAAGTGCTGAGATTACAGGTGTGAGCTACCAGGCTCAGCCTCCAATAGTTTCATTTAAGGGAGTTTGTGTATTTCTACCACACTTGTATAACTAATTAGTGGATTATAACATGGCTTTTTACAACTGGATTAAATGGAGTCAAATCTATCTATAGACATCCCCTGGGGCTGAAAAGACTTTTTTTAAAGTCATGAATTAGAAATACAGATACCCAGGCCAAAAGAATGTTATGTGGTGTAACCTTAGAAGTCTTTCTTCTTAGGGTTCCTAAAACAATTATACAAATTAACTAATCTCAAAAGTCACAATACAGGCTGAGGGCAGTGGCTCTTGCCTGTAATCCCAGCACTTTGGTAGGCCCAGGTGGGTGGATCACCAGAGGTCAGGAGTTCGAGACCAACCTGGCCAACACGGTGAAACCCCGTCTCTACTAACACCACAAAAATTAGCCAGGTGTGATGGCATGCTCCTGTAGTCCCAGCTACTCAGGAGGCTGAGGCATGAGAATTGCTTGAACCTGGGAGGTGGAGGTTGCAGTGAGCTGAGATCACGCCATTGCAGTCCTGCCTGGGTGACAAGTGCAAAACTCTGTCACCAAAAAAAAAAAAAAAAAAATGTCACAATGTAAAGTTTCCCACATGCATCCATTATGGAATTTAAGTTCTACCACAATGGAAATAAAAAATCTGGGCCGGGCACAGTGGCTCACACCTGTAATCCCAGCACACTGGGAGGCTTAGGCAGGCGGATCACGAGATCAGAAGTTCGCGACTAGCCTGACCAACATGATGAAACCCTGTCTCTACTAAAGATACAAAAAAACTTAGCCAGGAGTGGTGGCGGGCACCTGTAATCCCAGCTAGTCAGGAGGCTGAGGCAGGAGAATTACTTGAACCCAGGAACTGGAGGTTGCATTCAGGAGCCAAGATCATGCCACTGCACCCCAGTCTGGGCGACACAGTGAGAATCCATCTCTAAATAAATAATTAATTAATTAAAAAATCTAAATGTCCTTTGTCCACTTAAGGGTATGAAGTGAGTCTGGGAAAGTATGGCTAAATCTGTTTTGTTACACACATGAATCATTGCAGAAGTAGGTCCACACCTATCTGGAACTTTGTCATTTCCTCCCATAAATAAAAGTCACAATGACAGCAACTGCATCTTCTATAGCAAACATTATAAAACCAACTATAACACCAACTGTCCAGCTTCTATAGCTACTAAGGAGAACCGACTTCACCAGGTTATCACCTCTTTTAGGCCTCTGTTATTTTTTGTCTTTTCATTGATACATAAACGATGATCAGATCTAATGAAAATGT